TCTGATTGCTTATAGAACTTTCACTTGCAAAAACTGCAACTGTGAAATATGTTCAATGTAGAATACAAAGCAAGGCAAAATGCCCAAAATATTCAAAATCAAATATAAACTAAATCATATCAAATAAAATATGTTTACACTATGAATTATATTTAACACACCACCTAATTCATTGTGTCTAAATTGTCTACATTCATCATGGCTCTTAGTCTTCTGAAGGCTTCGACTTGCACTCCCTTCGTCATGATATTTGCAATCTGATTCTCAGTTCTGCAGTGTTTCAACTTCATCTTCCCTTCTGCTACCTGCTCTCGAAGATAATATAACCTCATTTCGATGTGCTTGCTTCGACCATACAGGGCTTTTATGAAGCCTGTACATCTTTCTTTCTTCGCCTTGTTTCACAAACCCAGCTGGTTGTGCAACATAAACTTCTTCTTCTAAGGGGCCATTAAGGAATGCACACTTCACGTCCATCTGACATGTGTGCCAGTTGTTCATATTTGCTAGACCAACAACCAACCTGATTGTTTCGATTCTAGCAACAGGTGCAGATACTTCATCGAAGTCGATTCCTTCCTTTTGAAGAAATCCTTTCGCCACAAGTCTCGCCTTGTGTCGAGTTACTTCTCCTTTAGGATTTACCTTCACCTTGTAACCCCACTTCACATCAATTGCCTTCTTGCCTTGCGACAATTCGATAAGTGACCAAGTATCATTAACTTCGATGGACTCCAACTCTTCAGTCATTGCTTTCACCCACTTCGAATCTTTCAATGCCTAAACTGCATTGACTGGTTTGACATCTGCGTAGAAAGCATAATGTACCAGCTCACCCTCTTCATCGACTATATCATCTGATGTGATTACACATTCTTGCAACCTTGCAGACATCTGTCTTGTTCGTCGAGGTCTGCTTGAACCTTCTTCATCTGCAACTGGTTCCTGTCGGACTTCTATTTCGACTTTAGTGGCTAGTTCTTCACAAGAGATTCTCACTAAATCCTTCTTGGCATTCTCAGTCTAATCCCATTCTTTAAGCTCATCTATGATCACGTCCCTGCTGATCACTACTTGCTTATTCACTGGGTCGAACAACTTGTAACCGCTTGTCGAATGATATCCTATCAAGATCATCTGATTCGACTTATCATCAAGCTTCCTTCTCAACTGATCTGGCACATGTCTATGTGCTATAGATCCAAACACCTTTAAGTGACTGAGACTAGGCTTGACATCAGACCAACATTCTTCTGGTGTGATTCCTTCAAGCTTCTTCGTCAGACATCTGTTCAATATATATGTTGATGTCGAAACTGCTTCTCCCCATAATTCTTTGGGTAGATGCTTTCCATTCAACATACTTCTCACCATGTTCATGATGGTTCTGTTCTTGCGTTCTGTAATACCATTTTGCTGTGGAGTGTAGGGTGGAACCACCTCATGTACAATCCATTCTTTTACACATAGTGTATCGAACTCTTTCGACACATACTCTCCACCACCATCAGTCCTCAGAATTTTCAGCTTTCGACCACTCTGTCTTTCGACCATGGACTTGAATCTGGAAAATACCTCAATCACATTACTTTTCTTCTTGATGAGGTAAGTCCACAACTTTCGACTGTAATCATCTATGAACGTGACAAAGTATCTATTGCCACCTGAATTGGACCACATACATCAGAGTATATGACTTCAAGTATTGCCTTCGACTTCTTTCCTGCATCCTTGCTGAAGCTATTCTTGTGTTGTTTCGACTGAACACACTCCTCACAGACTTCACTTGGAATGTCGATTTCTGGTAACCCTGAAACCATATTTCTTCTCTTCAGTTCTCTGATGTCATTAAAGTTGAGATGACCTAGTCGAAAATGCCATAACCACTCATCTCTGCTGGCTGCAGTTGCTAGACACTTGTGCTCCATCACATTTAGTCCAATCTTGAAGGTCCTATTCTGAGACATTGGATCCTTCAAGATTAATCTACCACCTGCATCGAGAACTCTCATCATCTTGTCTTCGACAACTACCTTGTAGTTCTTTTCGACAAGTTGCCCTATACTGAGCAAATTACTCTTCATGCCTGGTATGTACAACACATTGGAAATTATTGACCTTTTGCCATCTTTCCTCATAATCAGAACATCACCAACACCTTCAGCTGCTAGAGTGTTGTCATTTGCAAACTTCACTGTGTTCTTCGACGAGGGATTCATGTTGACAAACCAATCTTTCCTTCCAGTCATGTGTGATGAGCATCCTGAGTCCAAGTACCACTGATCTTGGAATCTTTCTTCATCTTTTGTTGTGACCATTAGCAATGTTTCTTCTTTTTCATGTTTCGCCAGCTTTGCATTAGTCTCTTGATTTCTCTTCCTTTCTGGACAATCACTAACATAATGACCATACTTCTGGCAATTGAAACATTAAATATGGCTTTTGTCTGTCTTTCGACCACCACCTCTTCCTTTACCTGCAACACCACCTCTTTGGTTGCCTTGGTTCCAAGGTTTCTTCTTATTCGACTGGTTTCCTCCTTTGTTGCCATTCCAGCTACCTTTACCTTTTCTTTCCTTTTCTGACTGTGTCTGCAAAGCTATATCTTTCGACTTTCCTGCAGCTCTCTCAGCCATCCTCTGTTCATGAGACTCAAGAGTCCCTTGAAACTCTTCTTTCGTCAACACTGACAGATCTTTCGATTCTTCTATGGCAACTACCACGTGGCCGAATTTCGGAGCCAACGATCTCAAAATCTTTGAGACAACTGCTTTCGTCGTCAGCGCTTCTCCATATACTTTGGTTTGATTCACCAACTTTGTAACTCTGGTGAAGAAATCTGTAATGCTTTCGTTGTCATCCATCTGAAGCAACTCATAGGTTCTCTTGTGAGTTTGTAACCTCGCCTCTTTCACCTTCTCTGCACCTCCAAACGACTTTTCAAGAATCTCTCATGCTTCTTTTGCTGAATCAACATCATTAACCTTTTCAAAGTTATCACGATCAACACACTGATGAATTATAAAGAGTGCGTTATAATCCTTTTTCTTCAATTCTTTGTGCGTAGCCTTTTCTGCCTCCGTTGCGTTCTCCCCAAGCAATGTTACTCCGTCCTTCACAAGATCCCAAAGATCTTGATAACAGAAGATCACCTTAACCTGCTTGCACCAATTCTCATAATTGTCTTTCTTGAGAATTTGCAGGGTCGCCGGAAAGTTGCCGTTCGGATAGTTCATCGCCATCACTACCTTCCTTTCTTGAATCTCTCAACCGGAGCTCTAGATACCAGATGTTGGAAATTCACCTCACACCCTATGAAGAATTCCCTTCAATCTTGATCTCAAGATTGATGAACAAACCCACAATATGATAGTAATGGTAATAACAAGTAATTATCAAGAATAACAAAAGAGAAAAAGAATAACAAACAAGAAAGAGAAGAATGAGAGAAGAAATATTTGGAGAAAATTGTTACCCACAAACTGTGAGATTTCTGATTGCTTATAGAACTTTCACTTGCTAAAACTGCAACTGTGGAATCTGTTCAATGTAGAATACAAAGCAAGACACCCTATTTATAGTTTTAGGTTTACAAAAGCCCAAAACATAAAAGGCCCAAAATATTCAAAATCAAATCTAAACTAAATCATATCAAATCAAATATGTTTACACTATGAATTATATTTAACAGAAACTTTATTCATGATATGCACGTGTTTGAGAGGAGAGAGAATGAAATCATTGTCGAAGGGTAAGACCCTGATAAGTTCAATTTTTTGAGATTGTTAACTTAGTTAAAGATAAGGTTATGATTGATTTAGACTTTAGAGAAAGATACCAGGACTTGACGAATGATTTATGCATTTCATTTATGATGTATAAGATGAAGAAATTGCTAATCACAACTTTGATAATAATGTTGATGGTCATATATGGGTTGAACATGGTATTGAAGACATGCTAAATAAGGTGTTAATGTCTCATGTTGATCAATTCAATGAATATAGTGATGATGCTAGCTATGATAATGATGTTAGAGGCATAAGGTTTGATGATAGTGAAGAAGAAAGAACTTGAGAAGAACAAACAAGTAGAAAAGAAGAAACAAGTTGAGAAGAAGAAACAAGTTGAAAAGAACAAACAAGTTGAGAAGAAAAAACCTCAAGAACCAGAAAGAAGTAATGATAGTTTGAAAATTGTTTGGAGGTCTAAAAACAATGTTGGTCTTAGATCAAGTTCATATGAATCATTGAAAATTGATGACTCTCAAGTTTCTCGCAATGAAGACATCAAATTAAATACTTGTGAAAAAATAATAAAATTATGAGATACAATTTCACGGCAAATGAGTCAATAATAATTATTATGAAACAATTTTTAATCTAATGTTTAGTATGAAATAGTTTGTAATATAATTTATAACATGTATGTTATGTATAATATGTGCCAATTTTGAAACATCTATGTTATGCATGATATGAGCTAATTTTAAAATATCTCTATTATGCATGATAAATTAAAAAAGCAAAAGCCAAAAGACAATCTGCCTATTCAATCTTTATAACGACATATACTGCATCATTCTTTTTTTCTTCCATACATTAGAATTGCTCATATAGCTTATGTTTTTTTTCTTCTACATAAAGTGTATGTTAATGAAATTTTAATCACAATTAGATAAAAAATTTGTTATTTTTGTCACAATTTAATTAAAAACGTCATACATCTTAATGCAAAATTAATTGACATTTAATACCTAATAAAAAATATATCTTTTATGACTTTCACTAGCCTTTACTTCTATTAATTCTTTTTCTTCTACTCCACAATTTTGATTTATCATTTCTATTTTATGCTATATTATATATTTAATTTCAAAATCCATTTTATAAATTTTTTATTTTTGTTTCTATACTTTGGTTGCCAAAAAGACGATAAACACCTTCATGTAAGATAGAGAAGTCGTTCATCTCACCAGAAAGAATTGATACCAAACTGTCATGGCGGCCATTCTTTTCAAGGGAATCGCAGCTCGCTCTCTCACCACACGTGTAAGTTTTCTAACCCTAATTTTCTTGTTTTTCCTGCAAACTTCTTTCTTCTTTTACCTTTTACACTTCCATTCCTTTTCTATTTTGTCGCAATTCCTCTACTTTCTTTTCTTCGATTTTTCACTTACAATTTCACTGTTGAATAATTTTACTTGGAATTCGAATTATGCCAATGCTGAAATGGATTCTGAAATTACTTTGCTCTCTTCTCGGATCAATCAATCAGCTATTATTTTTCTAATCATGAAATCCGTTAAGTTTTTCTTTAAATTTATTATCACTGTGCCCTAGAAAACCAATGTGAATATTGAAATCCTTTTTCATTTTTAAATTTAGGGTTAGTTCTAATGAAATTATGAGTTTTTAACTTTAATATCTTCAAAAAGTAGTCAAAATGGATTATGTATTAAAGAGAGTAGATCAGATGGAGTGTAGTCATGCTGCTAGAGATATAGAAAAACTATTAAGAAAGATCTCGAGTGTAGCCGACTCCACTTAGTGAGGTACAGCTTCGTTGTCGTTGTTTAAAACGTGAAATGTGTTTTTTCTTTTGTAATGGTATTGGAAACCTGGCTTAGGTGATTTGGACATGTAGATAGAAGACCTGTAGATTTTGTTGGAAGGAAGATAGACTAGATAGAGACTAGGCAAATCACCTGAGTTAGAGGAATATCTAGATTAACTATTAAAGAAAGACGTGGAGGTTAATGATTTGTATAGAGATATGATATCTGATAGATCATTATGACGCCGTTTGATTTATGTAGTTGATCCCACTTAATAGGATAAGACTTGATTGTTGTTGAATTGTGCCACTCATGTTCTACTAAGATTGATTTTGGAGTTTTGCATTGCCTATCTATGAACTTAACAATATTAGTGCTATAACTGAAAGGACTAGAATTTGTTTGTTCTCTAATATATGAATTGTGTTTTCTTTTTGTAATGATATGTTTTTTTTCCTTTGACTGTTGTGTTTTCTTTTTGTAATGATTTTGACGTGTTTACAGCTTACTAGTTCCTGTTATTATGGAATGAAATACTCAACCAAGGTGTCTAATGATCCAGACACACACGATGACTTCAAGCCAGCTAATAAGCTTGAGAAGTCTGGCACTTCTTTGTCAAACATTATTGAGCAGGTGGATTTCATATCATCATGAAGAATCTATTAAGGTTTTAGTATTTTGATGTCCAATAACTTGTGACTCATATTGTACAGGATGTCAAGGATAATCCTGTTATGCTATACATGAAAGGCGTGCCTGATTTTCCACAGTGTGGATTTAGTTCTCTTGCAGTTAAAGTTTTAAAACAATATGGTGAGTAAATGATAATTTTCATGCTTCATCCTAGCTACCCGAGAAATTTTATCTTTCGAACTTGTCTTTTCATGGTAGAATTGTTACTTTCCCTGTGTTCCAAAATTGTGCACATGTAATCTTGAAAGTGTAGACTCAGAATGGATATAGTGTTACATAACTTATTTTTCTATCAAACATTATGGTGATTAATTTACTGAAGGCAGTTGATGTCATGGTAGCTACTGCTTTTCTGTAATCTCATGTTTTGGTTTAATTATGTTAAATAAAATCATTTTAAAGATTTCATCCTTGCTATTTGATTTCATCTTCTCCAACATAAATGGAAACTAACACAAATTTTAATGGTAATCCTGTTAAAGCAAGAAGAAAGAGTAGTCCGTAGGTGCTGACTTGAAATTTAATAATGATGATCAATATTAATAACCTTTGTGAGAATATATAACACATTAGCTTGCTTTTAAGTTTCACATGAGTTTTTCCGGTTGTTGATTTTATTCTTGTTATTTTTATTTATCTATGGCCAACAGAAATTTTTTGTGAATAAGAGTTAGCTTTACTGGATGACAAACTGAGAATTTTTACGATGTAATTATTATTATTTGTTGCTTTTGCAGATGTTCCTTTAAGTGCTAGAAACATTTTGGAGGATCCTGAACTAAAAAATGCTGTAAAAGCCTTCAGGTAAACTTGTTATTGCTGGTTATATTACTCTAGCTTCTTCAGGGAAATGCTCTTACTGTAGCTTACTTTTTCAAAATCAGCATTTACAGAAATTAATGAAAACGTTTCAGTTAAAGGGACCAGAGCAATGGTCTCATTGTAGCCTAGTTTTTCAAAATTCAAATTTACAGTAATTAATAAAAAAAATTCAGTTAAAGGAAATGGATAAAATATATACTCATTGCCAATAATAATAACTAAAGTTAGTGATATGTGATATGAAACATAATACTATTATTTTCAAATTGCATTTTGTAAATCCTAATATTTTAGTTAAATTCAGATTATGAATTATAAATCTTAAAATTTGAAAGTAATTGTTGTGCTGTCTAAACATTGAAACCTCCCATTTTAGAATTCCATCTGTGTTAGAACTATGACACCCTTTACTGGCCATAGAGTTCAGTGGACGAGAGTCATGCCACAAATCTGAAGATCATAAACATCAACTTGATACATTTGATTCCAATGTCCAGTGAACTCTTACTGGTTATTAATCTGTCTTGTGTCATTTATTAACTAATTACACCTTCTGTTCTCCAATGATTTGAATTGCTTTCATGTCAAGTCTGCTGGAAATTAGTTGGCCAAGATTTGTCCTTGTATGTTTTGGATATAGGTGCACTTGATTGGCAAGTTATGAATATGAAAAATGATTTCGAACTTTTATTTTTCTTCCTTTCATTGAAGTGGTATATGTCTGTTAAATCTTATTATTATTGATTCTCAAAATATGGTATTTCCAAAGTGCAGGTGCTAATAAGTATAATTACTTTTCCCTTAACAGCCTAGTAATCGACAGATGAGGCAAATATAGGTTCTGATATTTTCTGTTGTTCTTTCTCTGCAGTCACTGGCCAACATTTCCACAAGTTTTCATTAAGGGAGAGTTTGTTGGTGGATCAGACATTATTCTTAATATGCACCAGGTTCATTCCCATTTCAAGAGTTGATCATTTTTTACTTTACAATATTTTCTACTCTCCTGTTAAACAATATTTCCGAATCTTGTAGACCGGTGAGTTGAAGGAAAAGCTTAAGGATATTGTGTCCAAGCAGTAAAATCACAGCTAAGGCGATGGAATTTTAAAAAGAGAGAGGTAGTTTAGACAGACTTGTTCGACGCAATCTGTTTCTTTTTCCGAAAAGATTACACTATGTGATGTCTTTATATCAGATTTTTTGGATAGTAATAAGTAATCCAACGGACAAATTTCGCGTGTGCGTGCACTTTGCTTGATTGTTTAATTTGTTGTATATGAAATTATAGTTAAAAAAACTGAACTTTTATTCATCCTGTGTTAGAATAATGTAATAAGAGCATTCATTGTATGGTGACAAGGCAGGGAAAATAAATTTTCTCACAATTTGTGTGGACATGGGAATAAATCACTTGATTTTTTCTTCTTAAAAACAAGCATTTTTTTTTATTACATTAAGTTTTATAATTCACCCAAAAAAGAAAGTTTATTGAAATTGAAAAACAAGGAGTCCAAGTTTCCCTGTTTTGTTACAATCACAAATGCTAACAAAAACAAAAACTAAAAATCTCTCCAATACTACTACTGATAAGCTCCTAGATTCTACAATAATATAAATAAGGGATAAATACTTAGTAAACACATTCATATATCTTTATTGCTCACCAACATGACAAAAAGGGACCCAGAAAGTTAAATATCCTATTTATATTATCCCACCTTCCTTGTTATTCTACAAACATTCATATTTTCATACTAATAGTTTTGTCATTTTAAGATGAGAATCCTTCAAGCCCCAGCCTTGAACTAAGCCAGTTGGAAACCTCATCCATCTCTCTTGGAACTGTGTAATGACCAAGCCTGCATTCATCACAACAAACTGTGAAAAACCGTTCTAATAATAACTCACATATTTCATTCATATGATGATTGATTTCAACTTACCCTTCATAGGATTTGAATGCTATATATCGAAAACCGGCTGAGCTTAAGGATTGTGCAGATTTCTCTCCATACTTGCAGTGTACTACATCATCACCTACAAAATGAATTCTCTGTCGTTAATTTGAGATCAGATGGTTGAATTGAAAACTTCGTGAATTAGTTACACCAGCATATAGATTTTTAGACACAAAATGAATTCTCTGTCGTTAATTTGAGATCAGATGGTTGAATTGAAAACTTCGTGAATTAGTTACACCAGCATATAGATTTTTAGACACGTACTGATTCCATGGCATAGTAAAATCGGTAACGAAGCAGCTCGCCTTCGTGATTCATGTGACACTTCTATCTTGTTCCCTAAGCTCCTACAAGATAGCAGGTTCCAGCACAGTGGAGGAATGATTATAGTGAAACTGATTAGAAAATAATAAATGTTTTTAAGTTATTATCAGTGTATGATGATACCTTGATCCTGGAAGCCAACCACTGAGTCCAACAACTGCTCTTAAACAGACAGGATATGGGATGCCATTTCCATACCTTCCCATGGCATAACAAGTTGAAGAATATAATGCTATTGCTGCACCCATGCTGAACCCTCCAATACCAACTTTCACTGTCACATAATAATCAAATAACATTAGTTCAAGATACCGGCTTTAATTAAAGTAAAAAAAAATAACAAAACTCTCTATGGACTGTTCTAACACAAATTGTTATCATCTAACGGGATTTGAATCTGAGTCCTTAAGAAGAACACACTCTAAGATCTGGGATTTGAATCTGAGTCCTTAAGAAGAACACACTCTAAGATCTCAAGCCTTCACCAACAACTAAACCCTGGAGGTTAATATGATGTTATTATTGATTCAATGAAAGCTTTGAAAAGTACCATCAGCTGGCTCTGTTGACAGCAAGTTAGCAATATGTGCTGCTGAAGCATCCAAACCTTCCCAATCATCTGGACCATCTTCTGAAAGTTCTCCCACATCAAACCCTGCAGATTAATATTCAATCACCAAGTTAATTACACTTGTTTACTGCTCTAATTCAATTAACAAATAGGATGAAAAAAAATTTTTTTTTTCCTGTAAAATATTACATGCAGTGCAGGGAAAACCGCCGAGTATCGCCACAGGACGAGTAGGAGCAGTAGGACAAATCCATTTTATCTGTATCATATCATACAAAGTCATCACATTACAGAACACATGAGCAGTCAAATTATTGTAGTTATGGAGTGAAAATATTAACATAGAGAAGTATTCTCACATTTGGAAGTGGAAGTGATTCCAACAATTGAGATGAGCTGCAGATAAAAACAAAAATACAAAATCAGAATATTTTTATTACATGATAGCTTCTATTCATATAGTAATATATTCTTCTGTCAACATCGATAACAGGTAGAGAATTTAGTATATACTCTTCTAAACCAAGAATTATAATAACAAGTTTCTTTTGCAGAATATATTCCATGTAGAATCTAACCAGAAAGAACTTCAATACTTAGAACATTCAACATTAGGAATCTAGCCAGAAAGAACTTCACATACTTTTCCTTAAAAGTTTCATTTTCGTATACGGATTGTGTACTTGAAACAAAAGAATGAAGCCTTAAGGTTATAGACATGGTAGAAAGAAGAAATATCGTGTTCTCTGCTTGCGTTTTTTCGGTATCTTTTTACTTTTGAACCGAGTTACTGTTCTAAAAGAAATGATATGATCCACTAAGGAAGAGGAATAACTAAAGGTTATGATGATGTTTGCATGACATATAACAGTGATGACATTCATACCTCAAACCATTATCACCAAGTCCATGCAACCAAACTATAGTAGCTTGGTGTTTTCCCTTAGGTCTCACGACATGTGTCTTCCCGAACTCGAAAGCTCGTCGAGTAGTTCTACTACCTGCAATTGTAAACAGCATGCTAAGTTTGAAGGTAGCTGATAAAAGTCAAAACATAAAAGGCAAAAGTATTGATAATATTTGGATTCACGAAAAGTTTGACAGATCACGACGTGTCACCGTGATTTTAGCAAAAGTTGCATTCTAAAGCTTTAACAAAACCACGTGTCATCGTGATTTTGTCAAACTCACAGTGACTCCAAACACGCACTTATAGCAATCTATAAACTAAAATTCATGCAAGTTGCAAAAAGAACAAACCGGAACCGGTATGAGAATGCGCATGACTCATTTTTCTGTCTGAAAGAAAGAATTGATGAAAGCAGCTCCACCTACTAGTACTACAACTGTAATGAGAATGAAGAGGTATCTGCAATGAAGAAAAATGCAGAATGGTGATGACCCTTTTATACCCTAAAGAGTATAGTGGAGATGGAATAAAACGTGTGAATATGCATTGCCATGTAAGTATAGTGAGTGCACCGTTTATAGAGTGTCGCTGCAATAGCCTAGAATGGTATCAATGAAAAGGAGAGAGAGAGAGAGAGAGTAGAGAGAGAGACAAAAGCAAGAAACCTTTATGAGCAGAGAGAATCAAAGCAGAGGAGACAGAGCACAATCATCCATTCCTAAACCGCACAGCTAGGAGAGAGATCTCAAAGAGAGAATCTATGCTTGTTTTTGTGGACAGTGCCCATAAAATAAAGCAAACCACAACAACAACAACTACCACTTAAGAATATTACTCAAAATGTAGAAAGAAAAAAGAATAACCTTAGTTTGTAAAAAGAAAAAAGAAAATATCTTTTCACAATCATTTGTTTATGAATTTCTTCTTGATTGATGGATACCCATTAACCTCAAAACCAAACTTTTTTTAAACTTTTGTACACTTAAAAGAACTTTTCTTACACGCTTTCAAGTTTTTAAGGACGTAACATTTAACCTCGATAGTGTAGATTCAGCACTTGTCGTTTCGATTCGTATAAAATAAAATAAAAGCGGAATAACCAAGAATGATTTAAAATTAGAATTGACAAGAAAAAGTATGCGAGCTTTTCAGTGTAACTTCCCTCTCTTATGATTTCTTAGTTGCCACTAAACTTTGCAGCTCAAACCCCACTTTGAAGAAAAGTTTTGTTTGTTTATACATGTGATATGAGAAACAACATAAGTCCAAATCGATAATAATGATGATCATGATTCATGATAATAATAATAGCAGATCTTCTTTGTAACACATTAAGATAAAATCTTCATGTATTTAGCAGAAATCTTTAGAACAATTTAAATAAAGTTTTAGGCCATGATATATGATATCTTCGCGAAAAGGAATCTTAAGAAAATGCAGGCCTATAGTTTATTAAATCATGATGATGATAATGAAATTATCTCATTTGTAAATTATTAATATCTTTTGTTATGTCAGTTAGATAGAGCTTTCTTTAGTGGAGTCCAACATGAATATATCCCACTCTTGTTTTCTTTGGTTTATAAAATTATATATATAAATATGTTACATTCCTGTTTATGTCTCCATATTGTGCAGAGATATTTGCAGCTTTGGTTGAAGTATCAAATATGTAATTTATTGCAAAGTGAAAAAGTGGACCTGTGATGGCATATATACCAAGATAAACAGAGAGGCACTATGTAAATGTATAAGGTCAATGAGTTCATGATTCATTGTGCACCACTATGTCTGCTCTCCTATAAAATTCAGCTTTCATGCTTCTTTTACTTGGAAGTCTTCAAATGCTATCTGTCCTTTTGTTCTATCCACTAACTAGTTTATCAAGATTCTGTGCTTGTGTTTATGAAGATTCTGTTACCCGACAAGAGAGACACAGACACTGATACGTTGACACTCGAAAGTAACTGAATATAACTAATTGTTGCCTGACAAGAGTGTCAAGAGGGACAAGGGCGAGGGAGGCAACCTTAGCCCTTGCCATTGCATTTGGCCCAAACATGTTTTTGCCCTTGGCGTGTGCTAGGGGATAGGCTCTTATGGTACGATTTAGGGTTAATTTTGTAATTTGAATTTTAGTATTATCAATATTTTAAAAATCGAACCGGTCATCAAATCAGTGAAGGTACTTGGTCGCTGTTTTATTGGTTGAACCACTCGGTTACTGGTCGAACCGTATGACTAAACAGTGTTAAATCAAATAACTCAACTGAATAAATCGATCTCTATTAAAAAACTATATATTTAATAAATCGGTTGAACATGCTTTTGATGTGAAGTGTCGATATACTTAAATCGTGAATCATGTGATTCCTACTTCATCCGGTTGATGTACCAAACGTTCCACATTTCATGCATTATTTTCCAATGTTAGAATTATTACTATTAGGTGTATAATCTATCCTCTGTAACATGGGCTAGTCCCCACTAGGAAAAAGGTGAATGCCTATAATTCCCACTCAGACTTTTTTTCCCCTGACAGAATGAAATGACAGTGTACTAAATTTAACACATTTTTATTATCTTTTTCTCTTTTAATTTCCATTTATTAAAAATTGTCTCTTCAAAACAAGATAAGATAAAAAGACTTGTAAATTTATTATGATTGAAAATTGTAATTCAGCCCCAATTATTTTGCTTTTTAATCTCCTGATTTCACTCTTTTTATTACGATGAGGGCACAAAATTTAACTCACTTAAGTTTCTTATAATAAAAAATAAATAAAAAAATATTTTTATTAATAAATTAATTAATCTACTAATATAATATGTTTGTTAATCTATTTAAATATATATTTTAATTTTAATTTATATATATTTATATGAAATAAGAATTTAAATACAGTAACATAAAAAAAAAAACCTAGTCTCAAATCTAAAAAATAAGTCCATAAAAGATTATATAAGTCGGAGTTAGATATTATTATTTTTATTAAGTGCGATTTAAATTTTATAAAATCTATCTCGTTTTTGGAGGCCAAATATTTTACTGAGATATATTATATATGGAGAAAGGAGAAGGAGATGTGAGATTATGCGTCAATTTGTTTTAATTTCAGAAAAAATTGAATTTTGTTTGTATTTTTGAAAATAAGTTCTACAAAAAAATATTTTTTAAATATTACAATTTTTTTTTAATTTAATTTTTATAAATTAAAAAATTAATTTTGACATTCTATAACATAAATATACATTATTAAGATCAATATATACATTATCTAAAGAATAATTTTTATGAAAAACTAATTAAAGTAGTTTTAAAATTAAGTAATTTTTTAAAATTTTGATATTTAAAAAAATTTCGATAAAATAATAAAATACCTAAAATAACATTTTAAAAATAATTATTCAAACCAAATTTTTATAGGAAGTTTTTATAAAAGGTTTTTTTATAAAATTTCTTTACACCAAACTATATAACACTATAAAAATCTTTTAAAAAAAAAATTTAAAACAAAAGAGCCCTAGATACATCTCAAATATGATTTTTCATCCTACTTGTTATGTATAGTGGCAAACACTAAGCTATTGTTTGGCCCGACTTTGTATTGACTTGTCTTCTATTTTAAAGGAAAAGTAGGGCAAAAGAATATTTTTAAAAAACTTCTAATAAAAAAAAAGTGATTTTTCTATTAAAAATAAAAATATAATTTAAAGAGCTTCTATTAAAGTAGTTGAAATGTATTTTATAAATTTTTTTTCAGAACATTTATTGGTACATAATTATATATATTTTCGAATTTCTGTGAGCACAATTTATACTATCTAATTATTATAAATTAGTTTTTAGTTTTTTATACCCATTTTCATAATTCTTTTTATATTACTTTATTTTATCTAATTTTAAAGAAAAGTTATTCATTCATGTGCCAACATCATCATTAATATTAATATTGTGCAATATTTAACTAAGATGAAGGATTATATAATTTGTTAGTTTGATTTGTTAAAATTATTTATTTTAAAATGTAAACTTTTTTTGTGATGTCAATTTTTTTAATTAGTGATTTATTCAAACACACATATTTTTAAATATTTATAAAATATATTCGTTTAATTTTTTATAACATATTTTCTGTCTTTTAGTAGTATAGTAGTGATCGGGAAAATAGCAAGTGTACTATTTTTACCAATTGTAGTAATAAGGGAAAAGTCCCAAGTATCGATCTCGAGGACTGCGTAGTAATTAACGGGATTTCTAGGATTCAAAGGAACAAAATGTCTAGTGGTTTGTTTGGTAGCAGAGTAATATAACAAGTAAATAAAGACTTATAAATCAATCTAAGAACAGTGTTAAGGGAGTGGAGACGATGCGAGTAAAGACCATATATGATTATTCTGCTATAATAGTTATTAACCTTAATTCATCAGTTGGCCAATTTAGTTTTCTTAATTCCTTAATGAAAACCCTTTGATGAGTTTCCTGTACACTAATTCCTCAGTGTCCATGAAAAGCATCAAGCAATAGTTCCGACCATAAAATATGTGATACGGGATATCCTCATTCCTAAGCAATATCGACCGTGATACTATTTTGCAAAAGTGTTAGGTTGACTTTCCAGATTAAAACCTAAGCATAACTCGAATTCTATTTTCCAATATGAATACGCGTTGAGATTAATCCAAAATAAAATATATAAGGTGAATAACATAGTTATAATAGAATAATCAAATAAAAGTCATTACATCGCAACTTAGGACCACCCCCTAACAATTTGGGGTTTAGCTGCTCATGTTCTTTGTAAACATAAAAGCAATTAGAAATGAAAAGGAGAAGATCATTACAATGCGAGTTGAAATCCTTGGATCATCAATTGCTTCCGCTTTTGATCGATCCTTTGTTTTCCAGCCGAACTCTCCTCCCAGTTGTCAATCCTAATCTCAGTTCAAAAGTCTCCTACTTTCTAAAAAGTGACTCTTATATCTAAATTCAAATTACATCACGAAATGTCTCAAATGCCCTTCGAAATAGGTCTGACAGCAAAAAATCAGAAAATATAAAAATTTCACTCTCAGTGGCCCTGACACGGGTCGTGTTGTGCAACACGGGTGGCCGTGTTGTGCAACACCGGTGGCCGTGTCAGGCTGCTGACTTCTTCAGGGCGTGTTTCATCTCCAAGGGCTGCAACACGGGCCGTGTTGCATGACACGAGCACCCGTGTTGTACGTCTGAGTCTCCTTTTCTTCTGCTTTGGTCTACCCGTGTCTGCCAACCGTGTCCTCCATGACACGGGCCGTGTTGTGCAACACGGGTACCCGTGTTGTAGCTCTGACTTCCCTTTTCCGACTTTTCTTTGCCTCTGAAAGCGGTGCGACTGTCG